GAGTGATGATTGCTAAATCTTGGCTGATCCTAATTGATGCTCCTTGGTACATAGACTTGTTCTTTCTGGCTACTTGCAGTATTTTTTTTTCCCTTTGAAACTCTGGCTTTTGCCTACCACGTTCCTACGAGTGTACTTTGGGGATTTCTTTCAGGAGGTGACTAGTGAATTCTCTTTCCATTTTGCCCTCTGGTTCTTTGTTTTTGTTTTTGTTTTGTTTTGTTTTAGGCAATTGGGGTTAAGTGACTTGCCCAGGGTCACACAGCTAGTAAGTGTCAAGTGTTTGGTCTGAGACCAGATTTGAACTCAGGTCCTCCTGACTCCAGGGCCAGTGCTCTATCCACTGCACCACCTAGCTGCCCCCTCCCTCTGGTTCTAAGAGATTTGAGCATATGTTTTCTTGACATATGATGCCTAAACTCTTCTTGTGGTCATGATATTCAGTTAGTCTAATGGTTCTTACATTTTTTCTCCTCACTCTTTTCCAGATCAGCTGTTTTTGCTATGAGATACCTTACAGTTTATTCTATTTTTTGCTTTTATTTTAATTTTTCTTGTTGCCTTATGGAGTCATTGCTGCCTGGGCAGGTTTCTATACCTCTTGGTCAAGCTCTTAATTCTCTTCCCAATTCTTTCTTCCGTAGCTCTCATTTCTTTTCCCATTTTTTCCTCTAGCAATGACAGTCCATTTATAAAAACATTTTTAAAAACTCTTTTCTTTTAAACTCTTGCTTCATCTCTTCCAGGAACAGTTGTGTTTTTCTCTAGGCCTTTGCTTATAGATATTTGGAAGCCCTTCTCTTCTGGGTCTATATCTTGAGCTTTCCTGCCACTGTAATCCCATTAAGATGGGATTCTTTTTTGTTTTCCATTTTTGCAGCCTACTTCTTGACTTCAGACTTGATGTTAGGGCTGGGCATTTCTGGAGGGAAGATCTGGGCTGGTCTTTTGGGTGTATTGAGTGTTGTTTTATTCCGGGATCTCAGGACCAGCTTGGGCTGGGGATCCGTAAGCTTTCGCAAAAGGGTCTGATCCAGGGCAAAGTCTGATTGCTGTCCCCATGGTCTGAGTTCTGCAAGTTCCTGACCTAGTTCTGAACGAGAGACTTGCTGCTGGGCTTAGCCACTTCCAGCCATCTAGAAAGCTCTATTGGTTCAGAGTGATGGAATTGTAGGAATCCCACTCTGGTTATTTGTCTGCAGGCTGGATGTTGGAAGTGAGATTCTGGGGCCTGAGCCACACCACTGCTACAGCTGCCTTCTGGATTTCCTCCTTTCTCCATACACTGCCTATGGCCTCCCTTTCCAGGAACATTATTCCTCTTCGCAGATTCCCTTCTTAGCCCATCCTAGATCTGTGACTCAGACTTGGGTAAGGGGGGGCCAAAGCTGCCATTTTGCACCTGTTTCCATTGCAGTGCCCTGGTATAGGTCTGAAATTTCCTCTCTCCCTGGGTGTTGGAGTTCTCTCCTGGTATACTCCTGGCCCAGCCCCCACCCCAGTGTCTAAAAAGTCCTCTCTGCCTGTTTCCCTCTGTTGAGCTGGGCTAGATGGAGGACTCATGGTGACTTTTTTAATATTTCACCAGGATCGGGATTTGGTCTGGTGCATATTTTAGATCTGTTTGGAGGAGTGTGTGGAAGGGATCTTACCCCTCTGCTTTCTCCCAGTGTGTCTTCTTGGCTCTGCACTCTCCAAGTAATAGCATTTGTCAAGAATGATAGGATAGTTAGCTGGACCATAGAGTGTGTTAAGGGGAGTAACATGTAATAAATTTAGAAAGACAGGTTGGTGCTGGTTTAGGAAGGACTTTAAATGCCAAACCACCTAGACTGTGTTTGATTCTGTATGTGAAACTGGAGCTCCCTGAACAGGGGAGAGTGAGGGGGTCAAGCCCATGCTTTGGAAATATCACTTTAGCACCTGTGAGGAAGAGCACAGATGGGGGGGGGCATACTGGAGCCAGAGAGCCCAATTAGGAGGCTGTTATTGTAGTCTGGGCAACAGGTCTTGAGGGCCTGAACCTAGATGATGGCCATGTGTGAGCAGAGCCAAGGGGATGGGTGTGTGAGATGTGAATGTGGCAACAGGCTTGAATCTGAGGGAGAAGGAAGAGTTGAGGATGATGTTGAGATTGTGAACCTTAGTGTCTAGAATGATAATAAGAACTGTTAGAAATGAAGAAACTGGGAAGAGGAATGCTTTTGAGGGGGAAAGATACTGAATTCTGTTGTAGAGATGGTGAGTTTGAGATGTGTTCAAAATATCCAATAGGCAATTGGTGTTGTGGGGCTCTAGCACCATAGAGGTTGCATATGTTGATCTGCGAGTCATCTATGTAGAGATGATAATTGAACCCAGGAGAGTTGATGAGTTCACTACCAGGGAGTATAGAGAAAGAAGGGTGGAGGGCCCAGGACAGAGCCCAAGGCATGGGAGACTGACTGATTAGGTATAGAGCCAATCATTGGTGCATTAGGTGTGAACTGGGACTGTCAGGTGGAACCTCAGAGTTGCTTTAAATTTCATTTCTCTAACCACTAGTGGTTTTGAGTATTTTTTTTTCCAGATGGCCATTGATAACTTGTATTTCTTCCGTAGAAAATTGCCACTGTTCCTAAGCTGCTGGCTGCTTAGCTGGCTAGGGTGTTAGGGCCTTTGGATTTCTGATCCTTGAGTTTGAGTCGTAGCTGCATCATCTGTGTAACACTAGGCAAACCGCTTTCCTTGTAGCCTTCGTTTCTTCATTTGGAAAATGGTGCTTTTGGTTTTGGTACCATCTACCTTAGGCTCATCTACCTTCGAGGCTCAGATGAGATAGTAAACTTTGATAGAGCTATAAGAATGTCAGCTATTGGTAACTGAGCAGGCTTGGAAGGAGACTCCATAAGCAGGTCCTAGATGACAAATTGAAAGTGACCTTTGAGGTCATCTAGGCCAATTCCCCCATTTCACAGCCAGGGAAAAAGGCAGAGTGGCACATGCTGTATCTCCCTGCTGGTAATACGTGACAGATTTGGGGATCAGTTGACTCCTCTTTCCATTTGCACCACAAACACATAAGTGTGTCCTTCTGTGTACCAAGCAGCTTGGTAGACACAGATAGGAGCTGTGGATTTGGACTTAGAGGCTCTGGCCTCGATCCTAGCTTGCCTTCTTATACTTAGGTCATTTTGGGTATGCGAATCTCAAGGCCTCAGTTTCCTTGTATATACAATGAGCAGTTAAGACTAGAGGACCTCTGAGGTACATCCTGGCTCAAAAGCTGAGTTTTTGGTCATGTATTAACCTAGTGTGGCCAATTGAGAAGCTGGAGTTAAAAACGGACTGATCTTTGAATACAGAGCAATGAGTTTTGTTGTTTTCAGTATGGTGAATTTTTTACTTTGATCCTGAGAATGTGATTGATTTTCTTTCTAAACTCATTCATTGTCTTTTTTTTTTTTTAAAGCTCACGAGAGGCACAGAGGAAGAGGTCTGCAAGATTTTTCTCTAGACCAAAATTCTAACTTGCCATCCTCTATGAGCTATGGTTAGATCCTAGCACTCCCTCCTCCATACCTTATGTGACCTAATGGGCCCAGTGCACACTCAGATGCCTGGCTTGCCAGGTTTTCCCAGGGTAGCCTCACCTTATGTAACCAAAGTCATACCTACTCTGTTCTAGCATACCTCTTTCCCTGGAGCCAATTGCTAAGTCCAGCCTCACCTGTTCAGTGCTGCCTCCGTTCTGTATACCCCTTGTTCCTTCCTTTTAGAACCCCTTCCACATGGCAGGCAGGCAGGTGGCTAGTTTTTGAGGAACCTGGTGTCTTGGGAGCAGATGCTGTTGAAGTGTAAGAGGCAGATTAGAAAGCTGGGCCCTTTGCCTTTGCTTCTCAACCCTCTTCCGTTCAAAGACAAGAATTTAGTTCTTGGCACGTGTGTTCCCGAACAGCCTTAGGATACCAAAATATTTGAGGTGGCAAAGAACTGAAAACAGATTTGGTGCCCATCATTGCAGAATGGTTGAACAGATTGTCCGAGAAACTTGGGGACACTTGTATAAGTGAGTGGAAACAGGAAAATAATATATCCAATGTCTACAATAATGTACCTGAAAAGAACGCTAGAATTCAGCTGAAGTCTGTGTAATCCTATTGACCCATCTTGGCATTGAGGAGAGATGAGGAAATATGCCACCTTCCTTTCCTTGGAGAAGTGGTTGACTGTGGGTGCAAAGGGAAGTGGGAGAAGTGATCTTCCTCTGAAAACACTCCTGATTTGTCAGTGTCCTTGCTAAATCATTGTTGGATTGAACTTAGTTACTTGTATTCAGTTATGTGCAGATTCATATTCAGTGATTCAGTTTACAAAAAACCTTAAAATAGTGGCATGTGACTTCCCTGCATTCTCATGCTGCCTGTTAGCCATGCTACGAAAGTCTGCTAAATTCAAATCCTGAGTGTGATAAGTGACAGTATTGGGAGAGATGTACAGGAAGAAGGTTGGTGGCCCTGTCCTCCTACTAGCTTCATATTTCTGTAGGACTTTCAGCTTTCCAAGTACCTTACAAACATTCTCATTTGAGCCTCCTGATAGCCCTATGAGGGAAGTCCTACAGATATTAGCCTCCTTTTACAAAGAAGGAAACTGAGACTCAGCTGGTAAATGTCTGAGATCTGGCTCCAATACAAGGCTTCTAGACTACACCTTTGGAGTGCCCACTGTAGGCCCTGAGTCAGTTAAGCAGCTGAGGCCGGCCAAAGAAGGCAAGAGAAGTAAATTCCTGTGAACTGGAACCCTGAGCCAAAGAATGAAAGTTGGGTATGAGTGCAAGACTCCCACGGGCAGCAATGATGCCAGGAAAGGCTTGGCACCTTTGGAACTGAGCCTCAGGCTGATCAGATGACTGCTACCCACCACGCTGACCTGAAAGCAGGCTAGACACTGTTTAAGCTTCAAGCTACCATAGTCACACGCATTTCTGCTTCTTTTTAAAAAGTCCTTAACAATCCCACAGATTGGCTGAGCTGACTGGTCGCCCCATTCGAGTTGTGGGCTGGTATCATTCTCATCCCCACATAACTGTGTGGCCATCGCATGTTGGTAAGTAATACTTAGCCCAGGGCTTGATACATAGTAGGTGCTTAGTCAGTGTTGATTGACTGATCCAGTTAAAGTAGTGGCCTGTGGCTGCTGATGTCACCAGTTGCCATGGCAAGGCCTCCACAGACTCATGTTGAATGACAAAGGTAAGTGGAAGATACATATAGGAATAGTGAAGATGGTTTTCCTGGAGTTGCTTAAAAGCAATTGGAGAAAAGGCCAGCTTTAGCTTTGGATTTAGTAGGTAATTTTGTCAAAATGTAGCCATCTTGTCCTGGCCAGAGGGTCATGGAGTGGCTGAGAGAGACAGACAGACAAACAAATGGTCCTCTGAGCCGCAAGCTAGCCAGCCCAAGGGGCAGCTCTGCAGGGGGCATCTGATCTTTGTCTGCTTTTCTATTGCAACACAAAACACCTGATAATGATACCAAGTGTTTATTTTTGCCTAGACCTGGGATTTCATCAGCCAGAGTTACACCCAGTGTGGAAAGATTTCTCTTCCACTGAGTGGGAGCCTGGATGTATCTGTCAAAAGCAGGAGTACAGCTCTCTATCAGAGGTTCATAGAAGGCCCTTTAGAGACCATCAGGTCCATGGAGGCCTAACAGGTCACACAGTAGTGTCATATTTGAACTCAGGTCTTCTGACACCATAGCCAGTGGTATGGAGGTGCTACCACATGCTACTTTTCACTTAAAGTGAAATTCTGTGCGGTAGACTCTCTTTGAGAAAAAAGGGAAGTCACTTCTTGATTGAGAGATGATAGATGAGAGGTACAGGATGAGATGTGTTTTTGGACATGGCTGTGTTTGACTTCGTGGGTTGTCACAGACAAAGAAACCAGGGTCATTGAAGCCTTCCCAAAAGCTACCAAAGAGAGCTAAGGGGAGTTGAGAAGGTGGCCTAGAGACAAGAAAAGGTTTGACTTGTAAACCTCAAGGAGTGAAAAAAATTGAACTTTGGGCATCTGCCTTCTACTCTGTGAGATGGGAGTGGGGGGAAGCAGACTAGCTGTTCTTAGGACCCACTTCCAGGGCTACCATTCTCTGATGTAATTATCTCTGAGTGTTGAGGAGTCATACAATGGCCAAATAAGGAAAGTGAGTCTGTTGTATGTCAGATTATAACAGCTGGCATCTCTAGGATTTGCAGGCTTGCCAAGGGCTTTACATAGTTTTTCTTACTTGATCCTGACAATAATCCAGGGAGGTAGGTCCTGTTGTTATCCCCATTTTATAGATGAGGAAACTGAAGTTGAGAGGAGTGCCAGTAACTACAGAGCTGGGATTCCCACACAGAGAACCTAAGGCCTTCTGATTTTGAGGCCAGAATTCTTTCCACCATTCCACTCAGTGTCTCTAAGCTGAATCCCTTAAGTGCTGTGCTCCCTGAGCCCACACCCAGTGCCACATTCTCTACCAGCTTCCTTTGTTTCCTTGGTCAATCACAACTATTCAATCATTTTTTTTTATTTGTGTCTGATTTTTTGTGACCCCATCTGGGGTTTTCTTGGCCTATTCCTTCTCCAGCTCATTTTACAGATGGGGAATTGAAGCAAACAGAATTAGTGACTTATCCAGAGTCACACAGCTAGTAAAGTATCTGAAGCTGGATTTGAACTCAGGTCTTCCTGACTCCAGGCCTGGCACTCTATCCACTTCGCACCTAGCTGCCTAAATCCAATTCACTTGCATGTCATGGCATCACCTCACTGTTCTCTTTGAGAATGAAAGATAAACAACAACCACCTCTGTGAGTACTGGAACTGGCCAGTTAGGTAACACAGCTCTTTCTTTCTTTGTTTCTTTCCTTCCTTCCTCCCTTGCTTTCTTCTTTGCCCAAAGGAAGGTAAATTTAGATCACTGAAACCTGAAAAGATATCTTGGGGTTTACAAGTCCTTCTTAAGGACCTTAAATGCCTTAAACCCAAATCACTCTGTCATTGATTGGCCAACAAGAGGTCCCAGTCTAAGCCCTGTCTGGTCATTGTTTGGGCCCTGATTGCCTCAAAGTGAATATAAACAGCAGTTGTTTGTGTTTTGGCCAGAAACCTTGAGGGTCTTCCCCTCCCAGACTCCCAGTAAAAAAAGGCTATTCTCTGCCTCATTTCTTACCTAGCCTTAATCACTGAAAGGACATTGCCTCAGTCAAACTAATACCTGGAAAAGACCTTACTGAAAAAGGCCAAGGTCTCCCACTGCATCCTGGGCCATCTCCAGTTGTCCTGATCTATGTCTGGCCACTGGACCCAGATGGCTCTGGAGGAAAAAGTGAGGCCACTTTATACAGCTCTCCCTTATTTAAATCCAATTCACTTGCATGTCATGGCATCACCTCCCTGATGTCATGGTCCTCTTCAAGAATGAAAGACAAACAACAACTTTGGTATATAGAAAAGTCTCTATAGCACTTTATTGTGTACCTTTCTAATGGATAAGTAATAGTGTATGTTACAGTTGCTGTAAAGGTGTTAACACTGGTGAAATCCCATGTGTTTTGTCATAGCCCTCAACTAGACTCTAAGTTTCATGAGATAAGGGACCTAGCTAAATTCTTTTTCTCCTTTAATACTTAAAACTTTAATACTACTTTAATACTCCAGACTACATAGTATTCTGCAAACAGTAGATGTTTAACAAATGCTTATTAATTTAATAGCTTCTCTTTTTTTAACTAAAATCTGACTACCTTTAAATGGCAGTTTCTGAATTATTTTGAATTTTAATTAATTTTTTTTAAGTACTTATTTAGGTTACTTAAAAGGACAGAGAATAAAGTTTCATCATTGCATTTTGGCAATATTTTAAGAAATCCAAATGAAGTAGGAGTTCAATTGAGCATCTACTGTAGCCTGGCAGTACTATATCCCATCATTGAGCCTCTTTGAGAACTTTCTGAGAGACCATCAATGGACAATTATGTTTTATTTATGTCTCTGGTATTTGTAGATATTCGCACCCAAGCCATGTACCAGATGATGGATGAGAGCTTTGTGGGACTTATTTTCTCCTGTTTCGTGGAAGACAAAAACACCAAGGTATGTGGTGTATATGTAGACAGAGAAAAAATTCCTAGCAGAGTTGTTTTGAAATAAAAAGTTGCTATTGTGGTGAGATTTCTTATTAGGTTTATAAGGGATTCAGATCTCTCCAGCTCTCATCCGTTTGAGCCTTGGCTGGTCTTGGCGAAGAGAGGCAGGTTTCTGCTTTGGGCTTTTTTCACTAAGCCAGTATTACTGGAATGGGACCCTCCAGGTTGCTCAATTAGCTTCTACCTGAGATCATGCTTGAATGATCATAATATCCACAGAGCTTCTTGAGCAGCTGGGGTTGAAGTTGAGACTAGAATGCACCTCTCTGTGTAGGAGTTTTCCAACAGAATTCCAAGTGACCATGCATTTGATACTCCATGCTTGTCCTCTCTATTCCAGGTTTACTCTGCCTTTTGGGTCTGGTGTGATTCAGACTTGTGGTTTCTTTGGTTTGGGGAATTCTTTGATATGAAAACTTCCCCTACGAGTATAGAGCAGTAGCTCAGCTAGGATTTAGAGTCTTGGGAAGTTAACAGGGGCATGGATAGGTTACTGATTGGCACTGATAAGTTAGATGACTTGTCAATATATGTCCAAGTTGGGAGTTGAACCCAGGTCTTCTTGTCTCAAGGGCAGTCACAGTGCCTCTCATTATGATGCTTATGCTCTTTTTTTTCTTTTAATTTTTAAAATTAAATTTCTTTTAATTTTTCTTTTAAAAAAATCTGCCTTTTCTCCTTCCCACCCACGTATTCCACTTGAAAGAACAAAACTCCAGTTACAAACATGTATAGTCAAGCAAAAACCAATTTCTGTGTTGACCATGTCCAAAAAGGAATGTATCTGATTCTATGCTTAGTCTTCACCTCTCTAAAAGGACATGGGCCACACATTTCACCATGAGTCGTTTAGAATCCAGGTTGGCCAGGATCAGCATTCCTAAGTCTTTCAAAGTTGATTAGCGTTACGGTGTTGCTGATACTGTATAGATTATTTTCCTGGTTTGGCTCACTTTACTTTGTATCAGTTCATATAGTCTTCTCAGTTTTTTCTGAAACTGTCTCCTACAGCACAATAGGATTCCATTGTCTTCATATAGTATAACTTGTTTAGCTTTTTCCCACTTGATGGGTGCCAGCACCCCCTCAGTTTCCTATTCTTTGCCATCTGAAAAAGAGCTATGAATATTTTATAAATCCTTATTTAGAATTTGTTTTGCTCAAGACTAATCCCTCATTTAATCTATTCTTCCTCTAATTCCCCCTTCTCTCTTCTCCCCTTTTCCTCTTATTTCTCTGGAGTGAAAAAGTATTTCTGTACCTAATGTGTGTGTGCGCATTCTTCCCTCTGTTGACTGGTTCAGATGAATGAGGGTCAGCTACTCTCCTAATCCCTTCTTCCTTGTTTGTATAGACTTCTATTTGAATATCCTGATTATGTGAGATAATTTTCCCTAACCTTCTTTTCCCTTTCCTCCCCTAGTGTGTTGTTCTTCTCCTTTATTTCCATTCTTCTTTTAAGGTCAAGGCCTAACAGAACCACTCCCAAGCCTTCTGTCAAATCAGACTCCCTCTATAACCCCTAATGATGGTAGGGTTCAGAGGGGATACATGCATCATCTCCCCATATTAGAATGTAAGCATTTTATCATGGTTTAATCACTTATGGTTATTTGTTCATTTTTATCTTGTTTCTCTAATGCCTGTGTTTGAACTTCAAAGTTTCTACACAGCTCTGGTCTTTTCCTCAGGAATGCTTGGAAGTCCTCTATTTAATTAATGATCCATTTCCCCCCCTGTTGCATTATCCTCAGTTTTGCTGGGTAAGTTATTCTTGGTCTCAAGCCCATATCCTTTGCCTTCTGGAATATCGTTTTCCAAGGTCTTCGCTCCTTTATGGTGGTGGCTGCTAAATTGTGGGTGATCCTGGCTGTTATTCCAGCATCTCAGGGACAGGCTGGGGACCTGTAAGCTTTCGGTGCTTCCAAGGTGATCTGATTTAGGGCAAAGTCTGATTGCTGCTCACTGGGGTGAGCTCTGCAAATTCTTTGGGTTTTGGATCTGAGCAGCACAGCTGTGGAGTTTTAGTAGACTGCTGTTGAACTGAGGTACTATCAGCCACATGGTTCAGATCGACAGAACCGCAAGCTCCCCTTTGGTCTGAGTTTTCTGCCCTGGTTATCCTGCCACAGACTTCAGATTAGGCTAGAAATTAGAACTGACTCTGCTCTGCTCCTGAGGACCGAGCCATACAGCTGCTGCTTGCTTCTAAAATTACTTCTTATTCAGTATAGAACCTAGGGCCTGCCACCATTCCTTACCCAGGAACACCAGCCTTGGCACAGGTCTGCTCTTCAGTCTGCCCTGGATCTATGTAGTGAGGTTCAAAATTGCCAGTTGCCACCTCTTCCTGCATCATGCACAAATTTAAGTCCCTTTGTGCTGACTCTGAGGCCCCTCTTGCTCTCATGCACAGCCTCTTACTGTTCAGGATTGCTCTGGCACACTGTTGGCCAGACCCCCTCCCTCCCCAGTGTCCACAGACCTCCCTGTCTCCCTCAGCTGACCTGGGCCAGAACAGTGATTCACTTGGATATTTTTCTTGGATTCCCCATCAGGTTGGGCTCTTGTATGTTTTCCTGTTTGGAGGAGGTTGGTTTTTATGTTTTGGGGAGTGGGGAGGTGATGCTTGCTGTTCTCCTTCCTGCTACTCTGCCATATTGAGTCCTCCATGCTTTATAATTTTTTAAACCAGTCTTTCCCTCTGACATACTTAGGCCTTGGGATCCTGACCTTTGTCCTTAAAGTGGAATGCTCTTGCTTTTGTCATGGGAAATGAGGTGCGGAATTAGGGTGTCTTCAGGTCCCTGCTCTACTCATTACTGGTTGTCACTCCATGGGTATGTTGCTCATAGGGAAGGAGGAGAAGGGAGGGAGGGATGGTCCACATTTCTCCTCCCCGCTCCCAGGGCCACGATCACACAGCTGTGTGAGTGCCAGAAGGCTGGTCTCAATGTGATATGTTATCATCCCACCCGAAGAACCAAGGATCCTAGATCTAGAAGAGACAGGTCCCTCAGAGGCTGCCATATCCAACCCTGTCATTTTATAGAGGAGAAAACTGGGGCCCGGGGAGGGAAAGGACTTACCCAAGGTTACATAGGCAGGAAATACAGTAACCAGCATTTGAACCAAGGTTCACTGATTTCTACTCTATTGCACTGTGTCCCATGACAGTTTGTGTGTTTTAGTTCTCAGCTTCTTCGTTATTTTCGTGCTACCCGTTTTCCTTCTTCCTCTCCTCACCCTCTCTTTCCACATACTTTGTTTCTACTTTGATATGTATTTCAGAAGGCAGTATGGAATGGTGGACAGAGACCCTGGCTCTATGTATGATCCACTGCCCATGTGACCTTGTGTGTGTCACTGGACTTCCCTTATCTATAAAAATGAAGGGTTGGATTCCATAGCTTCTGAGGGCCTTTCTTGGCTCTAGGTCTAGCTTCCTCTGTGTGATGGTAGGCAAATCACTTGACACATCCCTGGGTCTCAGTGCCCTCTTCTGTAAAATGAAGGCTTTGAGCTGGCCAGCCTTCTAGCTCTAGTCTTTGCCAGGTCTGACTCTGTGAAGTTTTACTGACCTCTTTTGGGCTTTAGGTTAATTTAGCATTTACCCTCCTTGTTTTGATACTGCTATCTTTCTATTGATTTCCCCAGACTGGCCGTATACTCTACACTTGCTTCCAGTCCATTCAGGCCCAGAAGATCTCAGAGTAAGTATCTTGGGGGTGTGTGTGGTGTGTGTGTGTGTGTGTGTGTGTGTGTGTGTGTGCGTGTGCGTGTGTGCACATGTGTGCATACATTTATGGCCTGGTAGTTTCTATTCCATTTTTTCCTCAAGTATTAAGGGATTTTCACACAGGTATAATTCAACCTAATCATCTTAAGGAATGTTTACACTACCTTCATCCATAAACAACCCTTTGAGGAATGAATTCATTACCCTTTGCTGCAGATTGGAAGGTACTAGGGAACTTGGTATCCCATAACCAGCCTGAGAATAGAACTTTGGATTTCTCATTCTTAACTCTTGGAAAGGCAGCCTGGTGGAGTAGGAAGGACCAGTTTTGGAGTCCTGGAGATCTGTGTAACTGCACTAGTCATGTAAACCTGGTTTTATAGCCTATTTGCTGATAGGCATCAGGGGAGGGAATCTCTACACTGAAAGTTTCCTATATGAATGAGATCATAGGTCCAGACCTAAAACCTTCCCTTAACATCAACCTTTCCCTTTCCCTTAATCACTTCAGCATTTCTGGGTCCTTGCTGTAAAAGTCATTTCAGACTCCTAGTATTAAAACTCCAGTTTCACTCAGATTCAACTTATTTATGAATGAACACTTGCTATTGAGAGTGCCCTACCTTTACATGATTGTTGGGTGAACCAGTCTTTCCAGAAGCACCAATTTTTTTTACACATCTTTAGAATAAGGGACAGAGCCTCCATGGGCTTTGTCATTTGTCGGTGTTGCCATAAAGGTTGGGCTCTTTGCTAGGTCTGTCAGTTAGAAAGTGTACAACAGTCTTAGAACCATCGACCTTTAGGGTTAGATGGCTGGAGGTGGTTGGGGGTGGGGATGGTGAAGAATGAGAATCACCAAATCACCTTTTAGCCTGCCTTGCCTTGCCTTGTCTTCACTGTATAGATGAAGCAGCTTTGGAAGTACCAAGTTACTATGGTTTTAAAGCGGAAGGAAGACACATACTGTATTTTAAGTTTTTAGATAGTAAAAATGTCAAATGTTATGTTTCTGAGTAATATTTGAGTTAGCAACATAACCTGCTTATTCAAGCAGCCCTTTTTCAGTTGCTTTTACTTGTAATGGTTATTTTAGCTTCCCCTCATTAATAGTCTAGTCAGCCTTAATGTGTGTGAATTCCTTTGTCACTCTATGCTGGTGGCCTTAGGACAGGAAGGAACAAGGAAGGCCTTCAGTGTGCTGGCTAGCTCCTCTCTGGAGAACTCTGGGTAAAACCTGGACAAGAAACCCTCACCTCAGGCTAAGAAGGCATGGAAGGGCTGGCATCTGGCAGTGGAGGAAGCATTTTACACCAGTGAAACCTGGGAGAGGACTAGCTTTTGAAAGCATTTTCTTTTTTGAAAGCATCTCTGGCCCTGTGTTCAGTTCGACAGACATTAAGTGCCTACTGTGTGCTGAGCAGACAGCACAGCTAGTGGATGTCTACAACTTGGGCATCAGAAAGCCCTCGGCTCAGCCCACTCCTGCCACTAGAGGCTGCAACCCAGTATGCCTTAGGCAACTTGCATTGGTGGAGGAAGTTAGTGAAGTTTTTGAGGAATATGATGAATACCAAGCACTGCTGGCCATGGGGAAGATTTAAACGTTAGATAATCTGCATTCTTCTTGGAGTTTGTGTGGGAATTAAAATCCTCCAGTCTACAATAAAAGAGACTGAAGCAGAGATCTGAGCCAATGGCACTTTATTAAAGGGTCCGTGGTCCCCTCTAATGAAGCGGACCTCATATTTTCCTCATGATTTGAGATGCCCCCTTCTTCCAGGACCTTGTTTTTATAGGGTTTTCAAATATGCAAAACACACATGGTGAAATACAGAATCTCATTGGTTGATAGACCTTGCTTTTGAGGGCCAAAAATGACATATTAGTAGGGGTGTCACAGGTTGGGTGAAGCATGGGCCAGCTCCACTGACTAAGTGCTCATACGATAGTCGAGCACAAGAAAGTCATCTACTCGTGTTGGACAAGAGAGAATGGTCCAGAGGTACAAAATAAATTGGGGGGCTTTCCAAAGCATCAAGGCATCCCACCTATGCTGGGTTTGGACAAGAAATTTGAGTAAAACAGGATGGAGATATCGTTGTCAGTATTCTTGTGGTTATGCAAATGAGCTTCATAACTTGGTAAACAAGTAGTGAACATTACATTAAAGTTTGAGGCCCACTATAAGAACCTATGTGATTTATGTAATGTATCAAACTGATTAGAATAGAGTAAGGGTCCAAGTGAATTATTTCTCACATTCATAGTCTATGAAGAGAATTGGACCCACACAAATAATGGTCATACAAAATAGTATAAAAAGGAAGCATAAACACCGTAATAGTAGAAGTTCAGGGGGAGCCTGTCTAGAGGATACTGTGTTCTTTGTTTTAAGAACAAGTCTGCCAAAACTAATCGTTTATTAATTTAGCATTATTCTAAATTGAGGTATTTTTAACCTATAGAGAGAAATGGCTAAACTGGTATATGGTCTATTACTGCCTACCCCCAACGTGCCCTTTGACATGTCTACCCCGAAATGATTTGAGGTAACATTTGTAGGAATCTCAAGGAAAATGCCCTCAAATGTCAATCATTGCCCCTACGTGGGTCATAGGGCATGAGGAAAAAAAGCATCTAAATAGGGCTACAGATAGGTTGGGTGACTACCCTTAATCCATTTCAGAAGAGGACAAGGAAGGGGTTCAAGGCTGGAGAAAATATTATTTCCTAATATTTCCAGGAGATTTTGAATATGCCTTCACAGTGAGCAGGACAGTTGAGCCTTGGGGAGAAGCCACAATGTAGTAGAGCCTGGGCATACTTTGAAGAATGGTCAGTATGTCAAAGTTTCTCTAATACCTGCATCGGATTGAGTTTCTTTGGTGTGTCAAAGCTCAAGATCGATTCCTGATTAATATGTGAAGTTGGTGGAAGGACAGTCAGCAAGTTGTTCATTAAACATCTGCTATACGCCAGGCACTGTGCTACACTCTGTGCATGAAAAGAAAGACAAAGCCCAGTGTCTGCCCTCAAGGAGCTCACAATGTAATGGGGCAGACAACATGAAAGGCTGTGGACAGGATAAATTGGAAATACTCAATGGAGGAAGGTACCAGCATTAAGGGGGATTAGGAAAGGCTTCCTGTAGAAGGTATAGGACTTTTAGCTGAGCCTTGAAGGAAGGCAGGAGGCAGAAATAAGGAGGGACAGCATCTGGAGCATGCAGTATATAGGCTGGAGTTGGGCGTGGAGTCTTTTGTCCGAGGCCAGTGGCACAGGGTTGCAGAAAGGTAGGAAGGGGTCAAGTTAAGAATGGGTTTGAACCCCACCGAATTTTGTATTTGATTCCTGGAGGTGTTAGGGAGCTGCTGGAGTTTTTTTTAAAGGGGTAGGGGGACTGTTCCATGGCCTGTGCTTTTAGGCAGATCGCTTTGACACCAGAGTGGAAGAAGGACTGGAGTGAGGAGAGACTTGAGACAGGGTGACGGACCAGAAGGGTATTTGGCAGATGGGAAACTGGAAGGATGGTGGTGCTTTCAACAATAATAGGAAGAGGGGAGGTCTAGGGGAGGGTGTGGTGGGGATTATGAGTTCAATTTTGTACATGATGAATATAATTAGAGATAAATGCCCAGTAGGCAGTTGGAGAAGTGAAATTGGAGTTCAGCAGAGAGATTGGGGCAGGAGAAGAGAATCTTTAGCATAGAGATTGTCATTCAATCCATGATAGTTGATGGGAGTGAAATAGGATAGGGGAAGCAGAGAAGGCCCTGGACCTCACCCTGAGGGACACCTACCCAGATTAGAAGGTGTGATCTGGAGGAGGATCCAGTTGAGGAGACCAAGGAGCTGGCAGATAAGTGGGAGGGGAATGAGAGAGTATGTAGAGAGATCTAGGAGAATGTGGATAGAGAAGAGGCTATTGAATGTGGCCATTAGTCATGTGCTTGAGTTTCTTTTCAGCCTTTTCTTTTCCAGGGGAATTATTTAAGGTGTTCTTTAAATAGAGCTTTTTAAGCACAAGAAAGTGTATTGGGTCATTCAAATGGAAATGCAAAATGCGGGACAATTCTGGCCCATTTGTATTTCCTGAGGACTCTAATCAAGGTCAGATTGCTTGCTTAAGAGAACAATTAGCAATTGAAGGAGAGACTTAGAATTTTAGAGCAGGATGGGAATTTGGAGATCTCCTAGTTTGGATGGACATAGGGGACCTGCTAGCCCATTACTCTACATGGGTACTACATGGGTCAGATGGCCACCATCCAAATAGTTTTTTCCTCATTGTGGATGTCAGCTTGTGACCTCTATTGAGCAACTGTAGGTCAACGGTCTAGATGAGGAATAAACTACCAGAGAGAACACGACTTAAATTCTGACAGATCCCCAGACTAAACCGGGTTTCTGAGGTGCCACTGAGTTCAAGTCACCTCTTAAGGTTTGGTTGCAGCCACACCCAACAGTAAGCACTTGAATCAGGCTAGAAGAAATAAACAGTTGTAGAAATCCTTGATTAACTCCCACCTTACCTTTTGGAGTGACTTAAAATGCATGGTGTCTTTTGTCAGCTAATTCACATAGTCCTGGATATACCACACCTGGCTGGACTTCCTGTTGGTTTCCCCTTGGTATCTCCTTGTCAAGTATTAGTATAAAATGTGTGGGAAGCTAGGCAATGTAGGCGGCCTAGTGCCTGACTGTGAGACTTAGGCAGACCCAGGTCCCATCCCACCTCCTCAGCTTGTCATCTGTGGAATGGTGGGCACTTCAGCTGGCCCTCCTCCAGCCAACTCTCTTAAGACTGGTAAGTTACAGAGGAGTTGCTTGTTTGTATCAATAGAGGGAGTTTCCACAATGGCAATTCCCGTGCTTACTAAATTCTGTGATTTAGTCTGACCTCAGACTTCTTTTCTGATACTTGGCCCTGTCTGCCTTCTATTGTGCTGTTCTAGGTCCCCACAACACATTAAAGGTGATGTGGGCCCTGCACATAATAGGCATCAGCAGGTCAAAAGGCTCTTCCAGGGACTCTAGCTGAAGCTGCCTCAAACACTTGCCTTTTACAGGTATGAGAGAGTTGATATCCCACTCCACATTGTGCCTCAAGATACCATGGGGAAAGCGTCTCTTGAGGCTGCCATTGAATTGCCCAAGATTCTGTGCCAGGAGGAACAAGATGCCTACAGGAAGATCCACAGGTACTACCACTGCTGCCATCTTTGCTTGAGACCCAGGGAATATCTGTAGTTTGGCTCATATCCCCTCTTGAGGAGTAGAAAGAACATGTCAATATTGCCTTGACAATATCTTTGGGTCAGAGGCAGGCATTATGATCCCTAGGTTCCATATTAGAAAATGAGGCACAGTGACAGGAAAGTCTCTCTCCTTGATCACCCAGCTCATCAGTCATGGAGACTGGCCACAAATGCAAGGCTTCCTGAATCTCTTCTCTCCATCAGATTTCTCTCCTTTACTTATAAATGTCCACGTACTTCATTCTGGGAAACTGGTTGCAAGCTGTGAACTTTGGGATGCATGCTGTCCTACCCCAAGAGTTGCATGTTCTGCTGATTGGGATCTGGAACTTCTATTTTCTAGTTTTGAGCATTCACTGTCCTCTTAGAGTAAAGACTCTGGGAATTTTTGAGTGAAATAACCAAAGGCTAGTCTTGCCCTTGGTGGCTTAGGGAGCTAAGGTAGCTGCAGGCAATTGGGGTACTCTCTAGTTTGATATCCCCAGCCCTGGAGAAGGCCTTTAGGGGAGGACTGGACTTGGCCTGTTGTGTCCTGCTCTCTCCCCTAGTTAATGTGGCCTAAATGAGAATTCAAATAGAAAAGTGATAGTCCCTGGTTATAAGGAGCATATATTCTCATTGGAGCAAACAACACAAATAGCAAGGTTTTTCAGGAAGCCAGATGGCCAAACCTTGGGGTCCATAGAGGACAGATGGAAAGGCCAAGTGGACCTCCATCTTACTGGCATGATTGTCCTTGGCGATTCCCCACTTATGAAGGGGGAAGTGGGCCCAAGGATTGGCATTCCCTCTTGTGGGAGTGGGGTGTTCATTAATAGATTCTTTGGCACCTAGGCATATTCCACTTTGATAACCCTCTGCTGATATTAACATTTGTTGTTTGAAACTTAACATCAAGGAACTGTCATTTTGTCAAGGGGAGAACCTCCTCCACCAATGCAGATCCTGGTCCTAACCCCCATGTGATGAAGACATCTTCCCAACAGGTTGGGCCTGCAAATTCCTCGCTCTCTGCCTGACTTCACTATTTGTCCCCACTTAGTGAAGCTGGCCCCAGAATGCTTCTAGGCCTTTCCCAGCTTTCCCTTGGTGAGCCCAAGGGCACCTCCAGTGTGAAGTGTGATGGGAGACATTACACTTCAAAATAGGAACCAAATTGGAGGTAGTGGACATTTTGCAAGGAAAGGATTGTTCTTGGTGTTTGTTTCTGAACATGGGAAATGTTTACCTGGTAAATGTGCATTAAGTAGTAAATGTCCAAGGCCCGACAACATCCTTGGGCAGGGGCAAAGTTGAAATCAGCAGAAATACTGGTCCCATCTCCAGGGCAGAGAGAGCTTGCTCACTCTGGACCCTTCTTGGTCTCCAGAGCTGTGCTTTCTTTGTATGATGAAAACATAAATCTGAAAGGCGGAGGAGCAGCCATTTCATGCTTGGGGGGCAGGCTCTGGGTGCTGAGCACTGGAATGTTGTGGGCTGAAGAAGGGAAATGTTGGGGACAGGGCTTGGCTTATCTGTCTTTATGTGGATGAAAATGACACTCCACAGCAGCCCAGCAAGAGCAGGTTGGGTCTGGGAAAAAAAAAAATCCTCAGCTGTTCTGCCTGCTTTTTAATCCCACCCAGGGCGAGGCAGTGGTCACTCTGTGAACCTTATTTACAGTAAGGTCAGGCTCACTGTGTGCCAGGACTGTGCTGGACCAGTGACACAAATGAAAATAGCCTCTGCCCCAAAGAACTTGATCTAATTCTGCCCTGATGACAGCTCAGGTTCTGTGGCTGACTGCCAGACTGCCCCCAAGTCTCTGCTCCACTGGCCTGGCTGTCTGTCTAAAATCCCATGATTAGATATTCATTCCTTTGACTTTCTCCTGTAGTCTCTTCATATACAAACACCCATGATAAGGAATACATTGATCCAGTATCACTTTATGGTGAATGGGTTTATAAGATGGCTTTGTACCTGACATCTACCTGAATATAATTTAATTCACCGGTTTATTAAGTACTTACCAGGTACAAAGTAGTCTTACTAGCTGTGGTACCCCTGGACAAGCCACTTTACCTCTGTCTGTCTCAGTTTTCACATCTGTAAAATGGGGATTAATAATAGCACCTGCCTTCCAGAGTTGTTGTGAAAATCAAATGAGATAATATAAAACACTTGGTAGACCTTAAAGTGCTAGATAAATAATAGCTGCTGCTGTTGTTGTTATCATTATTATTCATTCCTGAGGGAATAGGATCTAGGATGGGTAAAGTCAACTAGGAAGAAGATCTGTGAAAGAACACTAGTTGGGGTAGCTAGGTGGCGCAGTGGATAGAGCATCAACCCTGCAATCAGGAGGATCTGAGTTCAAATCCAGCCTCAGACACTTGACACTTAACTAGCTGTGTGACTCTGAGCAAGTCATTTAACCCCAATTGCTTCACCAAACCAAACCAAACAAAACACCAAACCCCCTCCCCCCAAAAAAAACAAGAAGAAAGAACACTGGTTCACTGTTGGAGGGGAAAGCCTAGGGAAGAGGGTTAATAGTCATGCCTACCTAGACTCAATTCAACCAAGATTGAAGTGACTGCCTTCCACATGCAGTGGGAGGCATGAAGGTCAGTTCTATGCTAGGAGACAGCTAAGTGATACCAAGGTGCCCAGCAGTGATCCAGAACAGAGCTTGGTGCTTGTGAAATGCTTCTGGAATCAAATAAAACATGGCATCTGTTCTTACCAAGTTTACGTCTCGTGGTCCAAGTGCCACAGAGGAAGGGAGAAGGAGTCTCAGACAATATACAGGAGTTTGGGGGGAATTGGAGTCAAATGAAGAATGAGAGGGAAGTTGTTCAAACTCTTCCCAAGTCAAGGACTCATCTGACAGTGTTGACTGAGTCCACTTACCAGTTTGTCATCTCCTGGAGCTGACTGAGCAGGGGAATCCTTTTTACAGAGCAAGCTGGCCTCAATGTGGGGACATACTCACCATAAGAAGAGGCAGTCTGGAAAAATGGGCTGAGATCATCACATGAGATAGTATAGAGAGAAGAGAAGAGGACCCAGGATAGAGCCTTTGAGGGAATCCTAGGGTTAGTGGATGTGCCCCAGATGAACATCCAGCAAAGGAGACAGAGAAGGAGCGGTCAGTTGGGTAGGAGGAAAACCAGGAGAGAGTAGCATCGGGGGAACTAGAGAGAAAAGAATATCCAGGAGGGGAGAGTGATCCCCAGTGTCCAAGGCTGCAGAGAGGTAAGAGACTGAGGATGGAGAAAAGGCCATTGGATTGGGCAGCCAAGAGATCATTGGTAACTTTGGAGAGAATGGTTTGGGTGGAATGATGACATGGTCTGAAGCTGGATTGTAAGGGGTAAGAAGAGAGTGAGAGGAGAGGAAGCTCCTAGTCTAGATAGCCTTTTTTTTTAAAAGCTTTTTGGGGAGGCAATCGGGGTTAAGTGACTTCTCCAGGGTCACACAGCTAGTGAGTGTTAAGTATCTGAGGCTGTATTTGAACTCAGGTCCTCATGACTCCAAGGCCAGAGCTCTATTCACTGTGCCACCTACCTGCCCCTCTAGATAGCCTTTTCAATGAGTTTAGTTAAAAAGGGTAGAAGAGAAACAGAATGATAGTTATCAGGCATGGAAGGATCAAGCAAGGCTCTTTTTCAGAATGGGGGAGATAAGCACATGTTTGTAGGCAGGAGGGAAGGAGCCAGTAGAGAGGGAGAGATTGAAGACAAGTGATAGAGTGGGGATGACAGAGGGGACAGGAAGGAATGGGATCATCTGTGCATGTAGAAGGCTTTGCCTTGGCAAGAAGGGCCACCTCTTCCCATGAGATGGGTGGTACAATTACACATGTTGTCTCCTTCATTAGAGTGGAATCTATTTGCTGGCAGGGACTGTTTTTTACTTTTTCTTTGTATCCCAAACTCTTAGCACAATACCTTGCACTTCTTAAATGTTTGTGGATTGATTGACCATTTCTTGTGTATTTCTATGTAGGCACATCTTTGTCTTTTTACTAGAATGGAAGCTTCTTGAGGTCAAGGACTATTTCCTCTTTTGTCTTTGTCAGCACATAGTAAGCATTTAATAATACATGGTCGGGTTTTTTGAGGGCATAACCTTTATTATGGTTATGAGGAGAGCTCTTTGGAATGGTTTTCTGTTCATTGTAGATATTTGAATAGTCCAATTTGCTCAGTGGGTTCCAGAATGATGCTATGATAACTGAACACATTGCTTAGTGGGGTGTCTACAGAGAATTCTTCTACATGCACAGACTCTACTCCAACCAGCTGGCTCCAGAGGGCACACTTTTAGTCATTGAGGGGCCAGTGAGACAAAAATGGGAGGAATTCATCATTTCAGAACAAATGCTGCTGGAAAAGCACTTGGTCTGCTTTGGGCCAGCATAGCAGGTATAGCTGGAGTACAGAATTTCTAGCATCCATCCTTCCTGCAGCTCCCACCAGAGGAGGTAGGTGGCATGTAATTGCCAGGCATTTCCCCTGACTTCACATAATATTGTGTTAGTTCCAGCTCTGTACTCTAGGTGTCTCCCTAACCAAACCCAGCCTCAGTTTTTCTCATTCTCAACCAACCTGAGAAAGTAGGTGAGTGAGAGATACCCCTTTATTAAATGTTTATTTTGTAGCTCTTGAAGAAAAAAAAACACATCCTAGAGTCATTAAACCTTTAGTAGTGCAAGTAAATGTAATTAAAGCCCTATCTCAGTCATCTAGTCAGTCGGTAAACATTTATTAGGTGCCTATTATGTGCCAGGCACTGTGCTAGGTGCTGGGGATTCCAAGAAAGGCAAAAGGCGGTCTCTGCCCTCAAGGGTCTCCTAGTCTGTCTGATGGGAGAGACATGTCGACATGCAGACAAGTCTGTCCAAACAAGATCCATGTAGGCTAAATTAGAGATCAGCAGCAGCAGAGGAAGGGCACTGGCTAGAAGGGCATTGGTTCTTTTTGGGAGATCCTATGGCAAAAGAGAGAGTGAGCAAGGCCTAGGTTTGAGTCCTCCACTCATACATATTGGTTTGTGTGATCCAGGATGAACCACACCATCTCTTAGTGCCCCCAGGCAGCTTTTTAAGACTAGAAGTTTTCTTGGGGGGGGGGGTGTTCCCTACACTAATGAAGTCATAGTTCTGAACCAGAAAACAAAAATCACTCACATTAGATGACTGCCTGCTTGATGGAAGGCCTTATTAATAGGTTTTGTTCAGTTGTTCCAGTTGTGCCTGACTCTTCATGACCCCATTTGGGGTTTTCTTGGCAGAGATCTGGAGTGATTTGCCATTTCCTTCTCCAGCTCATTTTACAGTTAGGGAAACTGAGGTAAACAGGGTAAAGTGACTTGCCCAGGGTCACCCAGCTAGTAAGTGTCTGAGGGCCAAATTTGAATTCAGGTCTTCCTGACTCCAGACCTGGAGCTCTGTCCACTGTGTGATACATATAGAATCCCAAAGTGCTCTGCTGCTAACCCGAACTCTGCTTTCCTTCAGCCTTACTCACCTGGATGCAGTGACTAAGATCCACAATGGTTCAGGTAAGGTACTTGGGCGGGAAGCAAGTGGCTGGCCCCGGGGATTTAGGCTTCTTGGGGTTCTCTTGACAGAAACATCACTCTTGCGGTAGACAGCCTGGCCCCAAGAATGGATTCCTCTGCTCCTGCTTACTCACATCCTTCCCAAATCCTGGTGACCTCAGAGGGTCCCCACAGCTCACGGCCTACGATCCTGTGACCACAGAGATGTTGCTTGTAGGGAATGTCAAGCGAATCAAGCATGCAGAGCTTTTGAACTCAGCCTTTCAAATCAAATCTTTGAAAAATGAGGCTGTTGTGAGAGTCACAATCATTATTTTTAGAAAACCCCATAAAGACAAAAATGCAAGTTCCGCTGTGGAAGAGGTTAGGTGTGGCCTGTATACAGAGAAGGACATATGAGGTAATCCCAGGAAAGGGAGCGCTGCAAGGTGGGGGGGTGGGAGTGGTAGGGCAAGTGGGTCTCAAAATGGGGAGTACCATGTGCATGGAGGCTGGCAATAAAGAGTTGAGGGCAGGGGACAGCCTAGAATACGGTGTGTTAAGGGGAGAAATAGTAGGAGATGGAAGGCTTTGGTAGGGCCTCGAACATCAGACAGAGGGGGTTTTCTCTTCTAGAGGCAGTGGGAGCCACTTTAGATCTGTGAGAAGGGCAGTGACATGGTCAGACCTGTGCCTTAAGAAGATGCTTTAGAAGCTGCAGAGAGGTTGGATTGGGAATAAGAGAGACTGGAGTCAGGGAGACAGATTAGAAAGTGACTTTGGAACCAGGTGAAAGGGGCAAGCATGTGTCTGTGGAGAGCAGGGGACAAACTTGGCAACAAGTGCCCCATGCTGTTTCTTAGATGGTTGTGGAGTAATTATTAGGATCTGTCTCTGTCTCTCTCTCTCTCCTTCTCCTTCCCTGTCCCCCTCTTCTCTCCTCCTACCCCTCTCCTCTCTGTTTCTGTCTTATCCTCTATCCCTTTCTCCTTCTCCCCTTCAGTCCTTTTTCTTTCCCTTTCCTCCTTTCTCTGCCCCTCCTCTCTATTTCTGTCTCTCCATCCATTCTCCACCTTTCTCTCTCCCTCTTGCTTTGTTTCTCTCCCCTTTTCCTCTATGTCTCTATCTCTCTCCTCTCTGTCTCCCCCTCTCTCTGTGCCCCTGTTTCTCCCCCTCTGTGTTTCTGTCTCCTCCCCTCTCTGTCTCTCTCCTTCATTTGTCTCTTTCTCCCTCTTCTCTCCCCTTTCTGCCTTCCTCCCTCTCTGTCTCTCTCTCCCTTCTCTCTGTCTCTATTTCTCCCCCCTCTTTTTGTCTCCCCCCTCTCTCTGTGTCTCTATCTCTCTCTCCCCCTCTATGTCTCTTTCTTCCTTCTTTCCCCTGTCTCCCCCCTTCTCTGTGTCTCTCTCCTTCCTTTCTGTGTCGCCTCTCACTAGGGCCCGTGTAAGCAACTTACTAGGGGCCTCATGGGGTCAAACAACAATTGAAAAATCATGGTCTTGGGGCAGTTAGGTGGCAGTGGATAGAGCACTGTTCCTGGAGTTAGGAGGACCTGAGTTCAAATGTAGCCTCAGACACTTGACACATTAGCTGTGTGACCCTGGACAAGTCACTTAACCCTGATTGCCTCACTTAAAAAAAAAAAGAAAGAAAAAGGAAAAATCATGGTCTTAGATTTGTGTTGTGTGTATGTGGGGGGGTTTGGGTGGGGGGGTATGGGTGTGGAGGATGGTAAGGGGTTGGAATGTGTAGGGGGTATATGTGTGTGTATGGGGGTGTGGCAGGGGCATATGGGGGTATGTGGTATGGGGGAATGTATGGGGATGTGTGTGGTGTGGGAGTGAAATGGGGATGTGGGGGTGGAGTGTGGGTATAGGAGGTAATTGGTTCGGATGTGGGGTATATATTATGGGGCTATGCTGTGTGTGGGGTTTGTGTGTATGGAGCATGGTGGGGTATCTAAGTGGGATTGGGTGTGGGGATATATGTATGGGAGGATGTGTGTGGGGTGTGTGGCCACTCTTCACAGAAAATGCCCCAGCACAACTTGCTGCCTGCCACCTGGTCCCTGTAGAACAGGCTTGCACAATCCACTTGCTGCCTTTGGCGTGCTGCAAGTGGCACATGGGCTGCAGGTTATATAGGCCTGTTGTAGAAGCAAGGAAGACAGGAAGTTTGCTCTCTTCTGGGGTAGCTTCTGATGCCTCAAGGATCCCAGCTCTAAAACTGGCACACACTGCAAAGGCCATGTCCTTCCCCACCCTCATTTTACAAAAGACACTGAAGCCCAGGGAAGTAAAGGAGCTTGCCCAGGGTCACACAGAGAGTAAAGAACAGAGCTTTAATTTGAACCCAGTTTTCTTGATCCCAGGACCAGGATGCTTTCTCCTCATACCACCTGTCGACCATAGAAACTGATCTGATTCCTTCTTGCTCTCCCCCTGATAGCCTCCTAATTAACAGCAGGTCTTGACAAAAGTTGGGGAGATGTGACAAACTTGAAACCAGTTAGTGACAGTTAAAGAATCATAGCTTGTCAGAGCTGGAAATGAGAGTGTATTAATTCAGCTCCCTTGTTTCACATAAGAGGAAGTAGAAGTCTCATGTCCAGAACCCTCATGCTCATTACTCCAACTGCCACTTGGATCTGTTCTCCCCCCCCCCATCAAAACACTCTTCTCTTAGGTTGCTGCCTTATACCGTCTGCTTATACCGACCCTAGAGTGCGAATGAAGTTACTTGCCCCCTAAAACATTCCTGGGGATATTTGCATTTTAAAAGAATTGCTTTTTAATCTCAATGAATCTTGTTAAAAAAAAAATCCTGGTCCCACCACTGGAGATAAAATGGACAATTTTGACTAAGTGAAATGTAAAAGTTTCTATACAAACTTGAGGCAGGTAAAAAACCTGAGTTACAATCTGGCCTTAGACACTTAGGAGCTCTGTTGACCCCAGGCAAGTCTATTAACCTCTGTCTGCCTCAGTTTTCTCATCTGCAGAACTGGGATAATAATAGCCAGGGTTGTTGTGAGGATTAAATGAGATTAAAGTTTTAAGGTGCCTTGCCTTCTTTGTCAGGAGGTAGATAGCTTGTTTCATCAAGAGTCCTTTGGGGGGGGGCAGCTAGGTGGCATAGTGGATAGGGCACCGGCCCTGGAGTCAGGAGGACCTGAGTTCAAATGCGGCCTCAGACATATATTACTTCCTAGCTGTGTGACTGTGGGCAAGTCACTTAACCCCAATTGCCTCACTAAAAAACAAACAAAAATAAAACAAACCAAAGGAGCCCTTTGGAATCCTGTTGGGTCATTGTTTTGCTAAGAGCTAAATCTTTCAAAATTGTTGACAGTTTTGCTCTTATTGGATACTTTGTTCTCCTAGTTGTATATACTTCACTCTGCCTCAGTTTCCTAATCACTGGACTATTCTATCACATTTCTGTTTCATCATTCATTTAGCCATTCATCAATGAAGAGAGCTGCCATAAAGGATTTGTACATATGTGGCTTTTTCTGCCATTCTTTGCTGTCTTTGGGCTATAGGCCTAATAGTGCTATTGCTGAGTCAAAGGCTATGGTCGGTTTAGTGACTTTGGGCCATGGTTCCAAGTTGCTCTCCAGAATGCTGGACCAGTACAGGTATAATCTCTACAAATGGAGAGGACCCTCCCACACACACCAAAGCCCCCCTACATATACCAATATACTCCTCATAGATCCTCTCACACTTCTCCACACACATCCGTCCTATACCCATAACCTCCTCCCCCATAGGCACACACCCCACACTGATGTGATCAAGCATGCCTTGAAGTAACAAAATGTAAGATAAATCAGTTGGTGTTGGGATGAATGTGTTTTTGGCCAAAAGATATTCCTAGTTCTGTATATTAAAGCAGACACTGGGAGTGGGTTGGGAAAAGAACAATGCATACTAGCCAGGCCCCTCCTTGGCTGATGGGGACTAGGCCTGCTTTGCCTCAGAGTTCATAGACAGTGAAAGGGACAGGGCTAACACCTTGGGACAGGGGAGGGTGTGTCCTGGGCTGTGGATGCTGCTTGTCAGAGAGCCCTAGAGGTCAGGCTTCCTGAAGATGCCTAGATTTTGAATGCTGGGGGCTCAAGAGGAGCCTCCAAGAAGTTTTTTTTTCCCACTTTATTTTCCCTTGCTCCCTTGGCTCATTGGTAGCACTTTTACCCTCGGCGGGCTTAGCTCCATCTTGTCCCCCCCTAAATGAGATGAAATTTGAATAGGGTCTGCTATTCTTTGGTAGTGATCTGTCTTCTCTTTTTCCTCTTGAAGTGTTTACCAAGAACCTGTGCAATCAGATGTCGGCCATCAGCGGCCCCCTCATGCAGTGGCTGGAGGACAGACGGGAACATAACCGCAAGCTGCTGGTGGAATTAGAGCAGGAGAGGATGGCCCTGCTGGAGGAGCTTGATAGCCTGGATTAAGGCAGCTGGCATATTCTCAATAAAAAGTACATCTACTACATGACAAAAGTGTAAGGAGAGGTTGCCTGGGATCCCTGACCATAGGCCCCATTGGGATAGATTGGGTATGGCTGTGCCGCCTTCTTATCTGGCCCTAGCCTCTGTAACTCAGTCACTTGTTTATTCATCACTGATGGGAAATCGGCTTGTAGGGTGTGAGCAAAGGAACAATACTCAGCGAATGAGAGTCATGTAGAATCTTGGTGCTTCTAGGGATCCCACAGGCCATCTACCCTAAGTCCTACCTAAATGAGAATAGGATTCTTTTCTACAACTGGAAACAGCCATGGCAGCAGGCTGTGAGAAAAATGCTTAAAACATTGGTTTTTAGTGTGCGCTGTCAGCATGGTGTCTTTTGACTTGAGAAGTAGTGTTTCCATATTTCTTGGTCCCTGAAATTCCCAATTTTCTGACCTAGGGGTCACCTTGTGTCCATGCCAGCCTTTGTTTAATATAACAGATGAGTTCTAACAAAGTTTGGCCATATTAAACAAATCCTGTGTTCCAGTTAGGGGTGGCTAGGTGGCGAAGTGGATAGAGTGCAGTGCTGGCCCTACAGTCCTGAACACTCATGTTCCTGAGTTCAGATATGGCTTCAGACAGTTACTAGCTGTGTGACCCTGGGCAAGTCACTTACCCATTTGCTTCTGTTTCCTCACCTGTAAAATGAAGGTGATAATAGCACCTACCTCCCAGAGTTGTGAGGATCAGATGAGATAATAATTGTAAGGTGTTCAGCACAGTACCTGGCACCTAGTATCACTATATAAATGTTAGCTATTATTATTATTATCTAAGCCAATCTCCTGATTTCACTGAGTTCTGACCCCAAATACAAGGCTTTTCCTACAACACCAGCCTCTGGTAACGGCCACGGGTAGAACCTAGCATGTCCTCTTCTTACTCAGCTGGTCCCCACTAAGAGTGGTCCTGTATGGACACAGATTTGGGATGTGGCAGCCTAGAGGGCTTACTTGAAGTCCTAGGTGAGTGATATTAATAGAGATTCAAGGCTACCTACCCAAGGATAAGAAGGAAGGACAGCTGAGTTGTAACCCACAACTCCACAAACGTTTAGAAAACAGCCTAGACTTAACCCCAATTGCCTAAAAAGGGGGGGGGCAGCTAAGTGGCGCAGTGGATAGAGCACCGGCCCTGAAGTCAGGAGGACCTGAGTTCAAATCCAGCCTCAGACCAAACACATGACACTTACTAGCTGTGTGACCCTGGGCAAGTCACTTAACCCCAATTGCCAAAAAAAGAAAAAGAAAAGAAAAGAAAACAGCCTAGAAAAACAAGTCCTGCTCAGGAAATCCAAGGAAAATAATCACACTTGTCTTACCAGCCTAGAGCATCATAAGGAGACAGAGAAGTTTGCTGACACTGGGGTTGAGGTCTAGTCAGGGAGGCCTCATGGACTCTTCCAGTGCTAGGATTGAGAGGGGGCCAAGACTGTGCACCAGGGCATGAAGAGCTCCCAGATCTGGTACAGGGGAAAAGGAGTATTTTACACTCTTGACAGCAACTGACAGCTCTTGCTCACTATCCAGTGTGGGGTTAGAGATCCAGGATCAACTGAGATGGGGACCTGTGCCCAGGGATGGGATTCAAGGACAAAGAGTGGTCCTAAAACCTACCATATATTGAGAGGGGCTGTGTTTGTGTGTGTGTGTGTGTGTGTGTGTGTGTGTGTGTGGGGAGGGTGTGTCAGCCCAGTCTTCAGCCTGCAGCAGAATAATCAGGGCAAGAAACCCAGAACAACGGGGAACATTCTGTGCCTCTGAACCAGCAGAGCTTTCTGGCTGATGGTAACTGCCACTAGCAACCATCTATTAGACTTCCAAGCAGGAGCAAAACCACAGCTGTGCTGTTCATATCCAAACCCAGGTCAGGAATTTAAGAGCTTAGCCCTGAATCAGACCACACTGGGGGCACTGAAGACTTGTAAGTGCCCAGCCTGAGCTGTCCCTGGAGTAACACAACACTCTACCCCCAAGAGAACAGCAGCAGGACCCAAGAGGACACAACCCTAACATAAGAGGGGAATCAGGAAGTAGGATGCAGATTAAATGAGCAAACACACAAAAGTCTCCACTGCGCCACCTTAGTGGCCTGTGGTTTTAAGAGAAAAGAAAGAAGAGAAAGGTGATTGGGCTCTGGGTGAAGTAAAGAGAAGAGGGGAAGGGGAGTAGGTGCCTAGGGCACCAATATTGAGCACAGTCCTCTTTTTTTTTTTTTTTAAGGCAGTTAGAGTTAAGTGACTTGCCCAGGGTTACATAGCTAGTAAGTGTCAAGTGTCTGGTCTGAGGCCGGATTTGAACTAGAGTCCTCCTGACTCTAGGGCTGGTGCTCCATCCACTGCTCCATCGAGTTGCCCCAGACCTTTTCTTTATAAAGGGAAATAAAGAGAAGGAAAAGTATAAGAGAATAGGATAGACGGAAATACACAATTCACGGTCCTAACTGTGAAAGTCTGTGGGATGAACTCATGGAAAAGGATAGGATTAGAAAGCAGAATGCAACATGTTGTTTATTATTAACACTTGAAGAGTAAAGATTCTTGCAGAGTTAAAATAAGGGGTAGCTGAAACAAACCCTGAAGAGGTCTGATGAATTCATTGACCAACCTGATTGTCAAGGTCCTGTAATGAAGGCACTACCTACTTCTGACCAATGTCAAATGCTTCAGAAAGGGCAAGAAGGTGTAGGGGAGGCCTGGCAACAAAAAAACCACTGGGCCTGGGGATGTTTGGTGACCTTGGAGAAAGCAGTTTTAGCAAAATGCTGGGGATTAAGACCAAATGACAAAGGATTAGGCAGTTAGTGATTTGTGAGGCTGTAAAGACAGTAGTGTCAACTCCTGTTTGGAAGTAGGCAGCTAGATGGCACAGTGGATAGAGTGTTGACCCTGGAGTCAGGAGGATCTGAGTTCAAATTGGGCCTCAGACACTTAAAAACTAGCTGTGTGACCCTGGGCAAGTTACTTAACCCCATTGCCTAGCGCGCCCCCCCCAAAAGTTTGGAAGTGAAAAGAGGTAGGGGGCAATAGCTTGAAGGAGCAGCAGGATCTTCAAAGGATCACCCAAATGTTTGAAGCCAGAGGGGAGGTGGTGAATGGAGAAGATTAGGGAGGGAATCAAGGACATGCCCAAGAACATGGGGATCGGTGGCAAGAAGCAGGGCCATCTCTTCTGAGAATGAACAGAAGAAAAAAGAAAGGAAGCAGTGCTAGGGAGAGGAGACCCTGTGGGAGTTTGCTGGAATTGGATTACACAGTAAGTGATGAGCAGGAGTCTGCTTCTCCCCTTGGCATGGATTCCAGGCAGGGAATACTCCTAAATTCAGGAAGCATGTAAGAAATGAATGCATTTCTCCATAATGGACACTTACGTGAAGCTAGAGATGTGCCTGAGGATGTATCTTGTCTATCTTGGGATCACTGTCAAAGCTAAAATGTTTTCGGGGTTCATAGATACCTCAGAAGCCATTTTGTCCAATCCAGACTTGGGGGGGAAATATCCCTGTTCTATAACAACTTGGTAAGTGGTCACATTCATCTGGTCTCTGATCTCAAGTAAGGTCAAACCTACTCCTAAGTAACTTCCTGCTAAGGAAGCCTGTTCTGGTTTGGGGCAGCTCTAATTGTTAGGAAGCTCACTGGGTAGTAAGTGAGCCTCACTTTCCTAATCAGTAAGATGGGAATTTTGATACCCATACATGTAGGGTGCCTGTGAGACTCAGATAAGAAGAAGAGTTAATGTTTAGGAAGGACTTTGGGTTCGCAAAGTGCTTCACATGTTTCAGTTGATCCTTTACAACCTTTTGAGAGGTATTATCCCCATTTTACAGATGAGGAAACTGAAGCTGAGAGTTTTAGTGACTTGGCCAGGGTCATGTGACCAATTAGTGTCTGAAGCTGGATTTGAACTGAGCGCTTCCTGATTCCAGCTAAGTCCAGCTCTGGACTTAGTTGCCCTAAAAGCACCATTTTTTTTTTTATCAGCTATTAGCTCAGAAGTTCTCAAACCTCCCGGAACCCTGACACACACCCCGAGGTTTTTTGGCCTTGAACCTTACTTAGGTTGCTCATTAAAAGAGAATTCATATGCAAGGGTTCTGTCAAAGTTGTTTAAAGAGTTTGAGCCCTGCGGAGAGGCCTGAGCCCGAGGCCTTTGGCCAAAGGCTTCTTCACGAGGTAAGCAAAGCCTCTGAAGCGCTTGAGTTAGGTCTCCCCGATTTGGTAAATTCAGGGGACAACTGGACACTTTCGTAGCATGAGAGTTCCCAAATCTCTGGGACGAAGGTCAGAAGTTGCCAGGATGCCCCATTTGTAAGGCCCAGGCAGTATTTTAGTGGCTTTTGCAGATGGACAGCGTCCACCCCAGCCCGGTGAGTCATTGAAAGCACTTGCTGACTCAACGAGTCCTGCTCAGCGAAATTCCAGGTAACCGCTCAGCTAGGGCCAGGGGCGGTTCGGGGCTCTTAATTTAGCCTAGGAGGAAGGGGCGGAAGGGCGGAGGAGCAGTCTATTGAAGACCCGCCCCTCCCCCAGTCAGCTCGGGAGATAGCCCGAAATCGCTCGTCAGGGGCAGGGTTTGTGGAAAGTGGGGAGCGAGGGAAAGATTGCTGTAAAGGGCATCCATCTAGCTAAGTAGGCTTGGGGTGTGGGGGGGGGGAGACGGCTTCAACTTCGATATATTTCTACTTGAACGCAATCGTGAAAGCCCATGAAATCTGGCCCATTTTCCCCAATAAGTTTTGTTCCAAACGGGCGAGGAAGGGGGCGGGGCCATCTTGGTAAACAGGGATTCCGGTGGGGCATCCCCATCCTAGGATCAGGCCAGGCATGATCGGACCTGGATGCTCCAAGGGGTGTTCAAAAGGTGATTCCGAGAAAGGGGAGGGGAAGGGGGACAACGGCTCTCCTGGACCTTGATCCATCGATCATTCCGTATCCGCCACGGATGTGCCTTCTTAATTGGACAGTTACTTCTCTAAAAGACG